TAGTACCCTTTTATCTTTATTTCTTCACATACCTCAGTTCCCATTCATTTAACTGAAGCTGGCTTTGGAGTTGGATTGGCTCTCCTACTCTAAAGTCAAGCATATTATTTAAATACAATTCAGAATTTCTGTATTATATCAAAGAGCCATTGATATAAGACAGAAGAAATAAAATGAGGGACTGTTATCTGTGGATTTCTTTTTCTGAACAGTCTAATTTACTCCAGGTTTTCCATCTTCCCTATTGTCACCTCTTCTGTATGCATACATATGAAAGTTAAAATATTTCTTTGTTAACATTAATGTTTGAGTTTTCCAGAGAACAAGGGATTTCCTGACAGCAATCTTCAACTGCTTCAGAAGGAGAATGAGGATCCACTTCCTTGACTTCACCTGATTCGACTGGAGGCATCTGAACTGCCCCACATCATTGACCCCACCTGACAAGCACTATCCTGAAATTGGCTTGAAACTACATCACTCTACACAACTCCGGAACAAGAAACTGAAATAGCACATTTTCTACAATCTGGCAGGAGCTTCAAGATGAGAGCTTCAATCAACACTAGAACCCCAGTCAGGAACTTCAATCAAGCATCTCCTGCCATACAGAGACTGTCTGATCTACTGAGATTTTGTTATACTAACATTTTCTTTTCACAGTTCCCCATGAGATTATCATCGTCCCATCTCAGCAGGAAGTAGTTTTGAGAATTCCACGCCCCCTCTCCCTACTATTGATATTATAAGATAGTTTACACCTGTTAGTGCTAGTTTTCAATTATTTTAGAGTTGGGATTGGAAGGAGATGTTCATATTTGGGTGTTTCTTTCAGATAAGTTTAGGTAGAATAGATGTTTGATACATTTTATTCATGGACACAAGTTAGTTGTCATTTTTAGACTAAAAGGGGAATTGTAGGAGGAAGTCTGATGCCGCCATTAAACATGTGACTTATTAGAGGCGCATACAGATGAGGTAATAAAAGGACAGTTTACCACACCGTTAACCACACCCACTTTAGGCAGGACTAAAGAAGTATACGGTTGGACGTAAAGATGTATACGTATGTAGGCGGAACTACGTCACTAGCCAGGCCCACTTTTGGGCATGGCTACTGGGCATTACGGGGGAAGGTATAAAACACAGCACACAGGAAGTCTCGGTCTCTTTTCCTGGAGTTCGGGTTCTGGCTCGGCAGAGGAAACGGATTGTATCATCTGGGTTACTTGTCTGGTATCTTGTGAGTATTTCTACATTAAATACTTAGCTTTACTTTCAGTAATTGTGTGTCTCGTATCGTTACAGCGTCCATTGAAGCCTACAAGGCACCAAGTGTGCATGCTCGTTAACTGAAATGCAGAAGAGAGTGGATGGAAATGAGCAGTGTGCTGATGCCGTCCAGGTTGACAAACATAGATTTTTGCCAAAAGTGCCTTCCTTGGCAGGATTCAGGCTCATCTAAGGAAGAGCACCTGGACTTAACAGGATTCCCCAGAAGGGAAACACTGCTGGGTACTGAGGGCCTGTGCACTGGCCTATGAGAAAGGCATGATGGGCCTAGTCACCCATTTCTCCCTGACCTTTAGCCTGGGACTCAGCAGCCCCATCCTGAGCATGATATTTATGTCATCACCTCTCTTCATGACGTTGGTTTGTCCCCATAGACCCGTGTACTCAACAGGCATTGCTATACCTGCTCGTGGGTCACAAACTGTGATACTTACCAGGATGACAAAGACCATCTGTCTAGAAGGTAGGTCTCAGCAAGCTTCACACAAATGTTCAGCGGGCATTAGACTCCTGCAGGGTATCAAGCAGAATCAGTTGTCTCAGTCAAGGAAAATTTTATGGTTCCAAATTTACAAGTCAGTGTCAGCAGAATTGCAATGCTCGGTTTGGAGTGCCCATATATAGATTATGATGATTGGGTGCATTGATAATCAGTGCTTTGTGGTAGATAATGTTAAATTGCAAATGCAGTTACCTGTTTGCACACCTAGCCAAGTTTAACCCTTCACTGGTTTCATCCTCATGCTCACTTCCAGCATTTATTGCATGAGGTGACAGACCATAGGGAATGCATATTATATTCCTGGTGAAAACATGTTACCATCTGATCATTCATTGTGTCTTATAAGGTCCAAGGTATCTCAGTTGCTCTGCATAGAGCTATCATACTTCCCTCTGACATCATTGAATACTCACTATTGTAGGATGCATAACCTCAAGTTTCTTAATTGCCCAAGCACAACATGCATATGAAAACTTCACCTGTACTCCTGGCTAATACCTGATCACATGAAGGATGGATGCCTTTATAACTTCAGATGCCATTCATGTTTTTGAAATTTCATGCCACTTATGTGTGGTGAGTGTGTCTCCTCATTTTGATGAGCCTGTGCATCTAGGGTATAGTGGTATACCTGGCTAGATATTCACTGTTCAATTGCCTCATGTTGCCTAATGCCTGAATGGCAGAAAAAGTTCACTAATCCTAATAAAATGAAAAGGTATTATATTTTGCCTTACTTATATGTATATTAGTCCGTATAAATCTCTGAGTCTCTGTCTCAATTTTGAGCCTTACACAGGTAACATAGTGATCTCCCTTGAGTCGAGGCCGCTTACACTGGATACTCCTGAATGCCATCAACTCAAGGGTGGAGCATGAAACCTTCCTGACACTGTGAGAACATGAAGCTTTTGCCAAGGTAGTTACAATCAATATGGAAGTTATTTGAAGAATATATTCACCAATCAATGAGCTGTGCTAGGAATATGGCATGAACTTCCTGAACCATTCCTTGTGAATTACCTCTTGGAATAGTCACTGCACAGTTACACAATACCTACCACTTGGAATTCTGAAAGACATGGCAGCGTGAATTATCATTCTTTTATCATGGTCTTAGGCCAAGGGGATTCCCAAAAGGAAGGGAGAACCCAAGTTCTATGGCTTAAATATCACTTGATTCAGAGAAGGTCATGTTTTCTAATGTTTGAAGGCAGATATCCAAAACAGACCCAGGCACTTAACATGAACTTTCCACTTACCTTGAGGAGAAAGGATTGGGGCACCAAGTATGCATCTTGTATCATTGAAATCCATAAGAGAAAGATGGACATGAGCAAATTGCTGAGGCCGGCCAGCATTGACATACATGGTTTGCCCAAATTATGGCCTTCTGTTGCAGGACTCATGCTCTCCAAAAGAAGAGCAACTAGATCTCACAGCAATCCCCAGACAGGGAACCATTGCTTTGTAAATGAGGGCCTGTGTTATGGCTTACGGGAATGCCCTGAGTAAATTTGGTCCCCATTTCTCTCCTGTCCTTTAGTCTGGGCCTCAGCATAATCCTATTGAGCATGATTTGATGTTATCATCTCTCTTCATGACATTGGTTTGCCATCATAGACCCATATCCTCAGAAGGCATATCTATACCTCATAATGGGACACAAACCATGCTTCTTAGCATCACCAAAATGTTATATCAGTGTCAGAGGAATTGAAATGCCCACCTTCAGAAATCCAAACATTCTACACAATTTTTGGGGACAAATGTTATTCATAGTCATGGAAGAGGTAATCTAAAATTTTATTACTTGTTGCTTGTTTGCTACATGTAGACAAGAATAATCCTTCCAATGTTTCACCCTCATCATCACTGCATGATTCAATAGCATTAGCTGACAGAGAATTTGGAAGATATATAATTGGTCTGCTGAAAACATTTTACCTTCTGATCAGGCAATGTTTCTTACAAAGTCCAAGACAATTCATGACCTGCTCTTTGCAAAGCTCTATCCCAGAAAGCTCTATCCTACTGTGATATCAGCGAGAAATCACCATTGTCAGATGCATACCCTATATGATCTTTATTGGCCAATCACCACCTGCTAGGACACCTATACCTGGACTCTTGGCCCATTTCTTATGACATATGCAAAGAAGTCTTTGCAACTTGGGATGTCATTCATGTGGTTGAAATTGCATGCCAGTGATGTGTGGTGAGTGTGTCTCTACCTGTTGATGAGCATGGTCATCTAGGCAAAGTGGGGAATACACGGCCAGATGCAACCTTTCGAATTGACTCAAATAGGCTTAAGCCTGTATGGCAGGACAATTTCACTAATCCTAGAGAAGTGAAAATGTATCAGTGTTTGTGTAACATATATGTATATTTGTGCACTAGGTTACTGTGCACGTCTGCCTTTCTCATGGGCCCCAGAATAGTAACATGGAGTTATCCTGCTGTCTAGGGCTTGCATAGTGGTCATTCTTGAGCACCGTCTATACAAGTTTGGAGCATGTCACCCACCTGACCCAGTGAAAACAGGAAGCATTTGTCCCTGCTGTAACAATCAGTATGGGAAGTAGATAGATACCACACGAAGGGGATTTGAAGATCACATTCAACTGTCATTGAGCTATGCAAGGAAAAGATCCTGAATGTCGTGACCCAAGCCTTTTGTCCCACCTCAGAGAACAGTCACTGCTCTCTTACCCAGTACCTATTACTTGGAATTCTACAAGGTAATACAGTATGAATTGCCAACCTTTTTCATGGTTAGGTCTAGGGTATTCCAAAAAGCAAGAGAGAGCCCAACTTGTATCCCTTAAAGGTCACTGCATTCCTAGAAGGTCATGCTTTCTAACGTTTGAAGGCATATATCCGAAGGAGATCTAGCTATTACCATGAACTTTCCATTTACCTGAAGGTGAAATTACTTGGTTAGAAGACAGCATCCTGGATCACTGAAATGCAAAACAGGAGAGATGGACACGAGCAAAGTGCTAATGCCTACCAGCCTTGTCATACATAGATTCCCCAACTAATGCCTTCTGAGGCAGGACACATGCTCTTCTAAAGTAGAGCACCTGTACTTTAAAGGATTATATAGACAGGGAAACACTCCTGGGTGATTAAAGGCCGGTGCACTGGCCTATGAGAATAGTGGTGATTAGGCCCTCATTTCTCCCCTGTACTTTAGACTGGGCATCAGCGTAATCCCATTGAGCATGATTTTTATGTCATCACCTCTGTTCATAACATTGGTTTGTCCTCATATATCCCCATCCTCAGAATGCATAGCTATACCTGATAGTGTGAAACAAACCATGCTACTTGCCAGCATGACAAAGAACATCTAGAAGATATGTCTCAGCGAGCTTCTGACAAATATCAGGCAGCAATATGCTCTTGCAAGGGATCATGCAGAATCAGTTCACTTAGTCAAGGAAAATTTGGTGTCCCCAAAATGTCATGTCAGTGTCAGAGGAACTGAAATGCCAAGCTTCGGAACACCCAAACTCTCTACAAGATAGATGGGGGCAATTGGTAATACAAGTCGTGGAAGAGATAATGTAAAATTTTAATGCTTGTTACCTGTTTGTTACTGGTAGAAGCATTCAACCCTTCAAATGCTTTATCCTCATTCTCACTGCCTGCATTCATAGCATTAGATGACATAACATTGGGTAGGCATATTATTTGTCTGCTAAAAATATTTTTGCTTCTGATCAGGCACTGTGTCGTACAAGGTACAAGACCTTTCATCTCCAGTTCTTTGCACAGCTCTATCCCAATTTCAGTCTGTCTTCACTGCCCATGCACCATTGTAAGATACATACACTCGAGGTTCTTTATAACCCATTCTCTGTGTGCTTAGGATACCTAAACCTGTACACTTGGCCCTTTTCTTATCTCATAGGCAAAGGAAGCCATTGCAACTTGGGATGTCATTCATGTGTTTGAAATACTGTGCTACTGCTGTGTCGTGAGTTTGTCTCTACATATTGATGATCCTGTTCATCTAGGCAAAGAGGGTAATTCCTGGCCCGATGCACCCTTTTGAATTACCTCAATTACTTTGAAGCCTGCATGGAAGGACAAGATCACTAATGCTCAGAAAGTAAACATTATCTGTGTTTGTATAACTGATACGTACATTTGTGCACTAGATTACTGTTGGTGTCTGTCTGCCTCATGAACCCCAGAAAAGTAACATAGTCATCTGCCTGCTGTTTAGGTCTTGCATAGTGAGTATTCTTGTGCATTGTCTATACAAGTTTGGAGCATGTCTCACTCCTGACCCAGGGAGAATATGAAGCTTTTGCCCTGGCAGTGACAATCAGTATTGTAGGTAGATAGATACTCCATGGCAAGGACCTGATGATCACATTCAAATATCAATGAGCTATGCAAGGAAAAATCCTTAACTTGCCGACCCAATTCTTCTGTCCCACCTCCACGAACAGTCACTGCTCTGTTTCCCAGTACCTATTACTTGGAATTCTACAAGATAAGGCAGTTTGAATTACCACCCTTTTCTCATGGTGTAAGTCCTATTGGATTCCCCAAATTAAGGGAGAGCCCAAGATGTATGCCTTATATGCCACTGCATTCCTAGAAGGTCATGCTTTCTAATGTTTGAAGGTAGATATCCAAAATAGACCTAGGCACTTAACATGAACTTTCCACTTACCTGAAGGTGAAATGAATGGGTTAGAAGACTGAATCCTGGATCACTGAAATGCAGAACAGAAGAGATGGAATGAGCAGAGTGCTGAGGCCAGCCAGCATTGACATACATAGATTGCCCTAACTGGTGACTTCTGAGGAAGGACTCAAGCTCTCCTAAGTAAGAGCAACTAGATTTCACAGGATTCCTAAAGAAGAGCAGCTGGACCTCACAGGATGCCCCAGAGAGGGAAGCAATCCTTGGTGAATTAGGGCTTGTTCACTGGCCTATGAAAATGTCCCAAGAAAGAATAGGCCCCCATTTCTCCTCTGTCCTTTAGCCAGGGCCTGAGCATAATCCTATTGAGCATGATTTGTATGTCTTCACCTCTCTTCATGACATTGATTTGTCATTATAGACCCGCGTCCTCAGAAGTCATGGCTATACTTGATAGTGGGTCACAAACAGTGCTGATTACCAGGATTACAAACACCATTTTGAATGTAAGTCTCAGTGAGCATCAGACAAATGGTCAACCGGCATTAGGCTCCTGCAAGGGATCAAGTAGATTCAATTCTCATAGTCAAGGAAAATTTTGTGTCCTCAAAATATCATGTCAGTATCAGAGGAATTGAAATGCCCAGGTCCTGAACACCCAAACTCTCTACACGATAGTTGATGGCAATTGTTAATCAAATTTTTGGATGAGATAATGAAAAATTTTAATGCTTGTTAACTTTTTGTTTAAACTTTCAAATGATTAAACAACATCCAAACCACCTGCATTCAGAACATTGAGTAGGCATATTTTAGGTCTGCGGAAAAAGATTTAGCTTCTGATCTGGCACTTTGTCTTACAAGGTCCAAGAATATTCATATCCAGTTATTTACACAACTCTATCCCATTTCCCTCTTACATCACAGCCCAGTAACCATTGTAAGATGCATAACTTTATGCTTCTTTATAGCCCATTCACTGTGTGGTTAGGATAGCTAAACCTGTACACTTGACCCATTTCTTTTTTTTTATTTTATTTTCCAGTTTAAATTTAGATAAGAAACAAGGTTGCTTCACAAGTCAGTTCCAGGTCCCTCTCCCTTTCCCTCCCCTCCTCCTGTGCCCTCCCCCCCAACCCCCTCCGTTATTCCCTCATTCCCCCAGGGAGGGTGAGGCCCTCCATGGGGGTGTCCATAGTCTGTCATTTCATATAGGGAAGGGCCTAGACCCTTCCCCAAGAGTTCAAGGTGAGAGTGCACCTCACATTGTTCTATGGGAGTCCAAAGTCCCTGTGTATACTTGGGATGCGTACTGATCTGCTGCCCAAGGCTCAGTAGATTACCTAGGCCTCCTCACTGACACCCAGATTAAGGGGGTCTTGATTAGTCCCATGCTGGATTCCCAGGCTGATGGCTGGGATTCAAGAGTTAACCTTTGTCTGGTCAGCTGTTTCTGGTGGTTAAACCGGCCCAGTCTTAATCCCTTTGATCATCAGTCCTCCGTCTCTTTTACTGGCTTTCTTGAGTTCAGCTCAGTACTTAACCAAGGGAGTCTGCCTCTTCTTCGATCAGCCGCTAAATGAAGTTTCTGTTTCCCAGACTATCTGGCCATAGGATTGTAGGCTGGCACTCCCCAGATCTATGTCTAAAATCCATATATGAGAGAGTACATGCCATGTTTCTCTTTTTGTGACTGGGTTACCTCACTCAGGATCGTTTCTTCTAGTGTCATCCATTTGCCTGCGAATCTCAAGATTCCATTACTTTTTTCTGCTGAATAGTACTCCATTGTGTAGATGTACCCCATTTTCTCTATCCACTCTTCGGTTGAGGGACATCTAGGTTGCTTCCAAGTTCTGGCTATTACAAATAAATCTGCTATGAACATGTTGGAACAGACATCTTTGTTGTATGAATGGGCATCTTTTGGATATATGCCTAAGAGTGGAGTTGCTGGGTCTTGTGGTAGGTTTATGCTTCTTTATAGCCCTTCACTGTGTATAGGATACCTAAACCTGTACTCTTGACCCATTTCTTATCACACATGCAACGTAAGCATTTGCAGCTTGGAGTGTCATTCATGTGGTTGAAAATCCATGCCACTGATGTGTTAGGAGTGGGTCTAAACATGATGAAGAGCCTGTAAATCTCACCAAAAGTGGAATACCTGGCCAGATGCATCCTGTCAAATTGCCTCATGTGGCCTGATGCCTGAATGGCAGGACAAGTTCACTAATCAGAACGAAAGAAAAGATATCCGAGGTTGCCTAAGTGATATGTAATTTGTTCTGTGAGTCTACATCTGCCTTATGAACCCCAGAGAAGTAACCAAATTTTCTCCTTGCAGTTGATTGCCTGCAATGTATACATTATTAAGTGACATCTTTGAATGTTTGGAGCATGTCACACTCCTGACACAGCAAGAACGTGAAGCTCTGTCACCAACAGTAACATACAGCATGAGAGTTCAATAGACACCCCAAGGCAGGGATTTCAAGATCACAATCACTTATCACTGAGCTGTTCAGGGAGAATCCCTGATCATCCTGGCCTAAGGATTTTGAACCACTTCCCAGTCCAGCCAGTCCTCTGTTTCTCAATACCTATTATTTGAATTCCACAAGAATTGCAGTTTCAATTAGCATCTTGGTCTCTTGGGTTTATTGCTAGGTGATTCCAAAGAGGAAAGGAGAACACAAGTTTTGTGCTGCAAGTTTTTGTTTTCATAGAAGTTCATGAATTTCAATCTTTGAATGCACATCTCCAGGATTGAGCCAGCCACTTATTCTGATATTTCCACTTACATGAGTGTCTCATGATTGAGGCACCATGTTGCCATCTGGGATCACTGAAATGCAGAAGAGAAGAGATGGACATGAGAAGAGTGCTGATGCCTGGCATCCTTGATACATGAGAGTGCCACAATTTTCTTCTGATGGAGGCTTAGTGCTCCTGTAAACAAGAGCAACTGTACCTCACAAGATTCCCAACAGAGGGAAATACTCCTGGGTGAATGAGGCCCTGTGCAAAAGCCTATAAGAGTGGCCTGAGGAGATTAGGTCCTCGTTTTTCAACTTTTCTTTTGCTTGGGCCTCAGCATAAACTGATTGTGCATCATTTTTGTGTCATCAGCTCTATTCATGACATTGGTTTGTCATCATAAACCTGGGTCCTAAGAAGACATAGCTATACTTGATATTGTGTCACAAACATTGCTGCTTAGCAGGATGACAAAGACCATCTAGAAGGTACATCTCTGTGAGCTTTGGACAAATGAGCATTTGGCATTTGGCTCCTGCATGGTATCAAGCGTAATCAGTTCTCTTACCCAAGGAAACATATTTGGGGGCAAAATATCATGTCGGTTTCATTGGAATTGTAATGCCCATCTTCAGAATTCCCAATCCCTCAAGATGATAATTGGGTCAATCGCTAATCAAAGCCATAGAAGAAATAATGAAAAATTTTCATGGTGGTTACCTGCTTGCCACCCCTAGCCACGTTTAACTCTTCAGTTTTTTCAACCTCATCCTCACTTCCTGCATTCATAGCATTGTGAAGGCATATTATAGGTTTGTTGAAAGAATTTTAGCATCTGATCATGTACTGTGTCATAAAATTTCCAACCTGTCATTTTTTGTTCTTTGATGAGTGCTATCCCATTTCCCTATCACCATAGTAACATTGGTACATTCAAATTTCTCAATTGTCCAAGCACTTCCGGTAAAGGATGCCTACACATGTTCTCTGAAGTCTGTTCAATGAAGAAGCACAGAATGATCAATAATATTTGGTGACTACATCAGTGACTTCACAATGGAATTCCACTCTATGTGATCTAGAATTCTATTGTAATGAAATAGGATAAATAGATCCAGGATTGCCTAAACAACCCTATAAAGTAAAGGGACATCTGTAACTTCAAGCTCTATTACAGAGCTATAGTCTTGAAAACTTATTTGTATTGGCACAAAAATATACAGGTGGACCAATGGAATTTAATTGAACACCCTGAGATGAATTCACAAACCTTTGAACACTTGATTTTGATAAAGAAGCTAAAATTATACAATGGAAAAAGAAAGCATCTTCAAAAAATAGTACTGGTATAACTGGATATAGGCATTCAGTAGACTGTAGATATATCCATGTCTATATTTTCCTTGCACAAAAGTTAAGTACAAATGGATCATAGACCTCCAACATAAATACAAACACAATGAAATTCTTAGAAGAGAAATTGGGAGATATTCAGTTAATTGGTACAGGAGACAGCTTCCTGAATATAACACCAGTAGCAAAGACTCTGATATAACAATTAACAAATGAGGCCTCCTGAAACTAAGAAGTTTCTGTAAGGCAAAGGACACAGTCTGCAAGACAAAAAGACAGACCAGCAAATGGGAAAATGATATTAACTATACCCACATCATACAGAAGGCTGATCTACAATATTTAAAAAAACAGAAGACACAGTTCCCCAATACACCCAAGAATGCAAATTAAAACTGGGGTACAGAACTAAAAAGAGAATTTTCAATAGTAGAATCTTGAATGGCTGAGAGACACTTGAGAAAGTGCTCAACATCCTTAGCTAAGAGATAAATGCAAATCAAAGCAACTCTGAGAAATCATCTTATTCATGTCAGAATAGCTAAAAACAAGAACAATGAGGACAATTTATGCAAGGGTTGATGCAAAGAGAGGATAACAATCTGTCACTGCTGGAGGGAAGGCAAACTCATACACCCACTTTGGAAATCAGTATGAAGATTCCTCAGGAAAATGGGAATCAGTCTACAACAAGTCCCAGGGATTCCACTCTAAGACATATATCCAAAAGGTTCAATTTCATACAAAAAAGACATCTGTTCCAATATGATCATAACTGCAGTATTTGTAATTGTCAGAACCTGGAAACAAACTATAATGCTCCTCAATTGAATAATGGTTACAGAATATATGGTATGTTTACACAAATTGTCAGCTGGCATTAGGCTCCTGCAAAGAATCAAGTAGAATCAGTTCTCTTATTGATGGAAAATTTTGCATCACCAAAATGTCATGTTAGTGTCAGAGGAATTGCAATGCCCAGTTTTTGAACGTCCATATGTTTGAGCATAATAATTGGGGGCATATGTTAATCAAATCCTTGAAAGAGATAATGAAAATTTTAACAGTGGTTACATATTTGCCACCCCTAGACAAGTATAACGCTTCACTTGTTTCACCCTTATCCACACTGCCTGCATTCATGGCATCAGCTTTCTGACCATTGGGAAGGCATTTTACATGTTTGGTAAAAGTTTTTAGCTCTTTTTTATTTTTCATTTTAAATTTAGATAAGAAACTAGGTTGCTTCACAAGTCAGTTCCAGGTCCCACTCCCTTTCCCTCCTCTCATCCCGTACCCTACCCCCAATCCCCCCATTATCCCCTCAATTCCCCAGGGAGAGTGAGGCATTCCATGGGGTGTCAATAGTCTGTCATTTCATAAATGGAACACCTAGACCCTTCCTCAAGAGTTGATGGTGAGAGTGTACCTCACATTGTTGGATGGGAGTCCAAAGTCCGTGTGTATACTCGGGATGGGTACTGATCTGCTGCCCAAGCTGATCATACACAGTGTCATAAAAGTTCCATCCTGTCATTTGCAGTTCTTAACACAGCGCTGTCTTGTTTCCCTCTGAAATCATAGACTAATCAGTATAGTAAGATAGGTATGTTCAAAGTTCTTAATTGTGCATGTACAGCCTTCTTAGGATGTCTACACACCTTCTCTTGGCACATTCCTTATCACATGAGCAGAGGAATACATTTGAAGCATGGGATGTCATTCATGTGGTTGAAATACCATGACACTTATTTGTGGTGAGTGGGTCTCTACATGATGATGAGTCTATGACTGTAGGCAAAGAGAGAAATGCCTGGACAGATGAAACTTCCCTAATTGCCTCACTTGGACTGATGCCTGCAAGGCAGTGCAAGTTCTCTAAAGTTAATGAAAGGAAAATAAAAAACACCGAAGACAATTTATGCTGGAGAGGATGTGGAGATGAGGGAACACTCCTCCACTGCTGTTGGGAGTGCCAACATATACACCTACTTTGGAAATCAGTTTGGAGATTCCTCAGGATACTGGGAATCAGTCGTGCAAACATCCAGCATTCCACTCTCAGGCATATATCTAAAATATCCAAATTCATACACCAAGGGCATCAGTTACATTCTGTTCATCACAGCATTATTGGTAATAGCCAGGAACAGGAAAAAACCTGGATGTCCCTCAACTGAAGAGTGAGTAGATAAAATATGGTACATTTACACAATGGAGTACTACTCAGCAGAAAAAAATGGAATCTTGAATTTCGCATGCAAATGATGGCACTAGAAGAAGCCATCCTGATTTAGGCAACCCAGTCATAAAAAGGCAAATATGTCATGGACTCACTCATATATGGATTATAGATATGGATAACTATAGTGCCTGTCTGCGATTCCACTGACAGAGTGTCTGTGAAGCAGGAAAGGACCTAAGTTAGATATGCAGGCTACCACATAGAAGAGGAATGATGCAAGATCTCCTGAACAGATTGGGAACATGATGGGAGGTTGGGGGAGTGGGAGTTGTGTAGAAGAGAATGGGAAAAGTGGAGGAGAGTGTAGGTCATGGGGGAACAGGAAGTTTGAGTGGGGGTAGAATAGAGTGAGTACAGGATAAGAAATACAATAATAGAGGGAGTCATAGGTTTGAAGATGGTTCTGGCACCAGTTAAACCTCTAGCAACCTAAAATAATGACACTAACTGGCAAACTAAGCAATAGTAGAGAGACTAACTTAAATGCACATTCCTGATGATGATCTTGACCTCTACCTTATATGCAATCCTATTACCTTCATCCAGTGACTGATGGAAAAAGATGCAAACATCCAGAGTCAAACTGTGAACTGAATCCATGGAAACCTGTGACAGAGAGAGAGGAGCAATGAGAAAATTGGCAAAGATTGGGCTGGCGAAACCAGCAGAGTCAGGATGGAATTGTGTACTGACTGATATTTCTAGCCTGAACTGCTATAGGAAGTGGTCCTCAAACACAGACGGGATATGGTTTCTATAACAAAGATGTGTTTGTTGTGTCTTCTTGTATACATGACTACAAGATTATATTGAGAATGTATTAAGAGAAAGAATAACAAATGTTCTTATGTTTTTATGTCAGTATTAAGATAATCCATGAAATGGACTAGTTCTTTGGTGTGTGTGATCACGGGGTTTATTCCTTAGCGTGGTGCTGTATCCTTGCACATTAATAGCATTCAAGATGCCCATCCTGTCATAGATATTTTCAAGAATATTTGGCCATGACACTTGTAAATGAGAGGGTATGCATATTTTCTCTGAATAAAAAAGGCATTTTTATAATAACATGATAATTGCACAGCAACCATGAATTCCCTTCATGGATTCTGTGTGAGAACTGTGTACATTACCACTAGAATAGGACAAGTTTCTCCATTCACTTTCGTTTTCATTAAATATTTTTATTTACAGGTATCCATTCAACAAATGTCAGCACTCCTAAAGACTTCCTTTAAGGGTATCTCAGTGAAACATAAATGAAATGTGTTTTCATCTTCATTTGTATGTTTCTCAATTATTGTGAGTGTAGGATTTAAGCTTTATTAGCTTTACATTTGAAAAAAACTGAGTACAACTGCTCTGTCTCAAAGGTCTGTGTGCAACTCCTTACCATACTGTGTTCTCATAAGAGTGTTCTTAGGAGGCATATGTCTGAGTGATGTGTTTTGTGAAAGTTGGGATTGTATCCTATTGCATCCTATAAGATGTCTGAGTGCAATGTGCTCCTCATTAAATACATACATGAAAAAAATAACCTGAAAGTCATTCTTCCCAAGTTGGGTGTCAAAACCTGCTCTTGTGATGCGGAACTCATCATCAAAAAAGTACAATTTACTCCATGTGTTACCATGATAGTAAGATGCTCATGCTCTATTACAGCAATTAGATACACAGTTTAACATTCCTCCTGTATCAGATATGAATCACAGACAAGATCTTAGTGGTATAAAATATATTGTAAGGCACAAAAAACAGATTGCAAACATACAGGATGTAGAGAAACAGGATGCTAGTGCCAAATTTACC